ATTTTGATCCCTCACGGTTAAATTATGCAAATTATAAACGTGGTGAATATGATGAGCCTTACCATTTGAATTTGAAAATAATGATTCTGTAAGGGGAAAGGGGGCTTCAGAATAGATTTACTATCATTTTTCATTATCACACTGTTGTCTTAGGTGATTTTTCGATCCAGACAGCAAGATATAAGAAATTGACTTTATTCCTGTGTACAGCTAGAAAAATTAAACAACTTATGTATAAATATATATAAAATCCTATCTGAAAGTCTTCAACATGGACTAAAAACTAAAAGTTCTCAAAATCACATGAGTGAGCAAATGGCATAGTACTGTTGATGCTCACATGTATTGGCAAGATGCCTGAAAAGCCATTTCAGGAGATATTTGTGTGAACAATTTGTTCTGTGGAAAGAACTACAGTGATTACATGTAATCACCTTGTCTTTTAAAAAAAGGAAGCTCACAAAGGTAATTCAAAAGTTGAATATACCTGGCCGAGCACTTGAAGAACAAAACTAAATTGCATCTATAATGCAGCTCCCAGAGAAGAAAGTATCTGATGAGGTAAAACCTGCTGCTCCTTTTATAATGCTGCAGTTGAAGGGCTACCTTTGAGTCCACTACTGCAGGGCTGTCAAACTCGCAGGGCCATATGCATCACATGCTGGCTACACCCAGTTTAGTGAAGGGGGAAAAAGTCCAGATACGTTATGGGGTGCTGCCATGACAACATGAGTTTGACACTACTGCACTAGCATGATCCTTTCCATGTCCCCCTTTGCAGTTACTTTTATTTTTTTCTCTGGCTACTTGCAGATGACATATCTAATACTTGAGGACAATGTGGACAACGATCCTTGCAAATTTGCTCTCATGAATCGGGAAACATCAGAACGGTTCATATTGCAGTCTGCCAATCCTGAAATCCAGCAAGCTTGGGTACTGGATATCAGTCAAGTACTTGACACACAGAGGGACTTCTTAAATGGTAGGTACTTTGCTGCTCTGTTGAAATAAAGCCCAAGTACTTTGCAGTTGGCTGTAAAATGTTAGTTGAATCAACGTCAACATGATATCAATTATAGAGCCCTCTTCATTATCTCTGTCATTCATACTGAGCTATTGCAGTCTTCACCTTTATATGGAACATGGCTAGAAAAAGGCTAAATGCATACTATCCATTTTACATATTAAAAACTGTATTGAAGTCTAGCAGATTGTCGACTCTATTGATATCTTAGTACTAGAGGTGTATATTTTATCTTAAATCTTTATGTTATCACTACTGTCTCTAATAGATTAGTTGCATTCACATATAGGAATATACTTCCAGTGCAGGTTAGTCTCTAAACAGTTGTTGGATTTATAACTTCTTGGTAACTGCCACCTAGTAAAACATTTTTTAACTCTTCACTGGGCATCAGGTGGGGAGGGAACCAAACAATCACACATGTGTGACAAATCATCATGGAAATCCTGTCATCATGTATTTGCATTCCAATATCTGCCACTGGTACATAAGTTGTGTCATTTGCATGATTATTTCAATACATATGTCTGGTCATTATGGCTTCCTGTGGATGTCACTGAACAATTCAGAAAAGTCAATGGAGAAAGTGGTTGACCCCTTATTTCAATATTGTTGTTGTTAGTTGCGAAGTCATGTCTGATCCATCGCGACCCCATGGACAACGTTCCTCCAGGCCTTTCTGTCCTCTACCATCCTCTGGAGTCCATTTAAGCGCACACCGACTGCTTCGGTGACTCCATCCAGCCATCTCCTTTTCTACCGTCCCCTTCTTCTTTCGCCCTCAATCCTTCCTAGCATGAGGCCCTTCTCCAGGGAGTCCTTCCTTCTCATCAGGTGGCCAAAGTCTTTGAGTTTCCTCTTCAGGATCCGGCCTTC